CAGTCTTTACCAGCTGACTGCTTTTAAGTGAGAACACTGACAAGGCCAACTGTATCAAGTCTTTATTTCAACTGCAGCTGAAATGTATTTCTGGATTTTTTTGTTGTTGTTCTGGGTTGAGTTTTTTTCCCCCTTCAAGTTCACAACACGAACTTGAGAAAAAGTTCTCAGCTTTTATGCTGCCTTCCAGTTCAGAGATAAACTGAGACATGGACACATAGAAATAATGTATTGCAAATGATATTGATAAAGTGCAGTATCAGCCAAAAAGAGCAACCCAAGGAAGTTATACATCTATTTATCTAAATCCAGGTTTTGGGAAGGTTTTTTGTCCATTTGTTTAAAAGGAATCAACTGCAAAGCACTTCAACGCATGACAATACCTACTGACACGCAGTGAGGGTGCTCAGCATCTTCCATAATTCTTTCCCGGGAATATTAGACAAGAGTGATACAAAACAATTTTGCTGTAATTTAGTAAGACATACAGAAGCCATCTGTCTCACATCACATGGGCATACCATACAAACAGTCCCCAATTTCGCCCATCAGGAGGATTCCTGATTGTATTTAAAATTGCTAAACCTATTTTTTTTTTAAATTGGACTTATGATACACTGTAGGAATTGTCTTATCTAAACAAAGTATGCCACAAGCTGTCAGTATTCTAGTAAGTGTAAGCATAAGTACTCATTTTAGGGCTCTGATATGAGACATAAGGATGGATACATTTAAAAACCTTTAGGATCATTTCACCCTCTATCACTGCCCTAGGCACTATAATATGCATAGAATCAAAATATTCTGACTGCTAAAAATTAACCAGACAAAAGGTTCAAAATAGCAAAACAGAGCTCTGCAGTCCTCTTTAGCCTCTGTTCACATTTTGGTTGTAGATATCAATTTATGATTCAACTACAATTTTTTCTAAAGAAGGGTAATATTAAGAGGAAGCTTTGAAAATCCTACTTGCACAGCACTTCACACTGGCTTCTTGACTTCATAAGAATATACACTATTCTTATCTGTTTCTAGAACTGAAACTTGTACTCCACCCACTATGCTTTCCATCGAAAGGAGGGAAAAAAAAAAAAGATAAAAAGAGGCTCTTGATTCAGACTTTCAATAGAAAACAGGAAGCCACGAAGGACAAGAAAAAGAAAGAGCAAGTCACCTTCAATTTTAGTCTTGGGAACACTCCTCTCAGAGACACCAATACTCATTTAGCTCACATCACCACCAATCAAGAACAATTCAGAAGAAAAAGATTAAAAATAAAGGAAAAAGTAAATGTTCTGGTTCATCCCAAAACATCTATTCAGAAAATTCACCCATGCCTTGAATGTTTGGTAATATTTTGTTCTACAATGCAAAACAATGTTGTGGAAGAATAATTTTGATTCATGGCCACGAAAACTGTTTGTAGAATAATATCTGATTATTTCTAGTTCCCAGTAAAAATCCAGTAGCATTTAAGCCTACGTATGTTTACAGATGTCAGTGTCAGACCAAACTTCATCATGTATTTATTTACTCCTGAGATCAAAGAGTGATTGCCTAGTACACACCAGTACACTACAAAACCAGGCCAATGCCAACAGCGGCACTTGACACGCCTGCATCCTTGAGTACGACAGTTCAAAGCTCTGTCTAAGTCCATACAGGATGTCAGAGCACGAAAGGAAGGACTGGAAGAAGTTCTTGCCAGAATCACTTACATCTGGCACTATACTACAGACAGGGTAAGAACCAGAGTTGTAGTAAATGTGTGCTAAGATGTGAGCTGGTGAAAAACAGCTGTCCGAGGTCAAGCGGCATGTTCAACAGCACTCCCAAGCCTTGCCGCGTATTTCTTCGCAACAGGCGGAGCTGATTTGACTCAAATACCAAAATCATCAGCTTAACTCAAGCTGGTGCAGTTACTGATTTTCTGAAGTGGTACACCAGGTCTGTTTTTCTTCGTCCGTTAATGCTTCTTGATTGCTATTCTCTACACTTTGAAATGCTTCCAAGCTAATTCCAGGGCATATACAATTCACCTAACGTTTCTTCTTTGATAAAGCACTGGTCTCATCCGGCCATTTGGGGGACCCAATGGTTTGAGCGGGATTCCATGTTAGTGGAATTAGTCAGTGTCTGAAGAGATATGAAATTAATTATTTTGAAGTACTTAGCATAAAATGAATTTTCTTTCTCAGCTGGCTATACACGTTCAGTGGATGTATTCCACACTCTTGAGAGCCAGGAACATACTGCAGGTCTACTTACTAGCTTGAGTAACACACTATTCAAGGTGCTAACAGCCTGCCTCTAGCTTTAAGATCAGTTTAGGGTTTTATTCCACAACCAGATTTTTCTCACTGGTGTGAGAATTACTGAAACATAGCGTGTAATCTTTTACTGGATTCCGTTAAAAAACCCCAAAACCACAAAAAACAAACCCGCTTGAGACACACTGTAAAGAAAAAAAAGTTATCCCAAAACGCACAGGTTTACCACTTCCAGACCACATAATGATCAAGAGCAGGATCATGGTTGATATTTCCCAAGCTAAACCTATAGTCAGCAAGCTTTCAATAGAAAAGAAAGTGCAAAGCATACTTTCCTTTAGCACTGTGTGCTCCAAGAACAAGAGGGCCTCTTATTACATGGGGTCTGAGGTTTTTGTGGGTTGTTTTGCAAACAGATTCCCAACACACTGAGCTGCATTTGAGAGTCCTGGAAAAGTATATGAGCATCTTACGCTGAACCGAAAATAAAATCGCTCAAACAGAAATATATCTTTGTAGATGCAATCCACAGCTCAAGCCTGTTTGGTCTAAGAATGTATCCTATCACACATTTCTACAAGTCAGTGGAGGGGTCACACTGCAGTATTCAGAACCTTATCTACCACATACTATTACTTCAAGCTACCATGAACATTTTCCATCCTTTCCATGTGAAACAAAAATACTACATTAGAAAAGCCGATCAAGTTCAAGACGAAGTTTTGTTTTTTATAGACAAACCACCAACAGGTCACCCTGGAATGTGCATTACAATTGTTTTACTTCCAAAAGCAAAATAAATCTAGAATTAGAAATTCAAAGAAGCATGTAGTGCAAAGCAGTAGCGAACACACAGGTCAAAAATAATCAAGCAACCTAAACTCAGCTCCTTTTTCTAAACCTCCCCCCATTCCAAGACAAAATACAGACTTGAAGAGCTAGAATTAAAAAAGCCCTGGCTGCAACCAAATGAAGAAAAACCTACATTTTGAGAGCTGGCTACTCTGAGTAATTAGCTGATCACTAAGTGCTATGCTTTGTCATTTCATTGATCTTTTCAGGCCCAGTCATTTTCTAATAGATGGAAGAATTAACAGCTACTTCCACACAGAAAGTAGGTTTAAAACTGCACTGACAAGTCACATAAATGGCATTTCATAAGAGAAATCATCCATTAAACACAGAGCTTGAACACTAATACAAATAGCTCATTTAGCATTCACACCCTCAAAACTAAAATGCATCGAAGAAAAGTGGCAAAGTTAAATATGGGGGGTCAAGCATGGTGCTGCGTATCAGAGAGCTGTATCATGACAAACTTCATAAATGCCTCGCCTTGTTGGACTGCTCAAAAAAGGCAAATGATATTACAAAAATGTTTTAACATACTGTATTTTAAAATATGATAGGACTTCATGCCCTCTTCCCAAGCTGAGCACCATCCACTAGCAAGATTGCCTCCTAGGGACTTACACTGACAACACCTGCTACGAATGTAAACTGAATTAAGAGAGTTTCCCTAGTCCAATACCCTGTCTCAGACATATGGACAGTTTAAGACACTTCAGAGTAAGGTACAGGAAGCCTCAAAAATAGGCAATTACATAATAATATGCCCACGCAGGGCATGTTTCTTCCTAACTGCAAGGAGTTAGTGGTTGGCTATGCCCTGAAGCATAAAGATTCATATCTGCCTTAAAACCAGTAAATATACAGTGTAACAATTCAAGTATTTTTTATTTATATGGCTATCTAATCCCCACTTCAATAACACTTCTCAACAATATCTCTAGAAATCAAGGTCCACAAGCTAATTATGTTTTCTGCACGGAAAGAGACAATACAACTTGCAGTCAGCACAGACCTTGCTGAAACCCGTTATGCATCATTAATCTTTTACACAAGCACTCATAGGAACACACCCCTACGCAGCAAACTCTTTAAGGCTGGTGTTTGTAAGGCATTCTCCGTGTTTACAAAACTACATAAATGAAAAAACAAGAGTTATCGTTTGGACCTGAAAAATAATGAAGGTACAGCCTGGTATCAGCTTTGCTTTCTAAACACAGCTGATAAAGAGTGGCTGGACAACCCCGAGGCAGATGGAAAGAACTGTGAAATGAAAGACCATGCTGAACATACCTTCTTCAAATATGTATTAACTCCGCAAAAAAGTTCTTTCTGTACCTCTAATTTGCTCCAGGCCAGCAAAGCGTAAACTGGGAATTGTTGATATGGGACCCTATATGAGTATTGACACAGGAAAGCATGAATTCCCACGCTTAAAAATGTCAATTTAATTTCTTAGAAGTGTGTAAACTTCAACATTGCTACTAGAAGATGTGAATGTACTTTTAAAAGTATTTTCAGGGGTGTGCACTTAGCCAATGAGACAGCTAAGAATGCCTGCTAATTTTTGCAACCTGTAAAAGAGTTTCACCGTTCTAAAAACCTGTTTTGAAGCACTATGTTATTTACCCAGAGATGCAACCGGATAGCATGACTCACTGCACAAGTTTGTTATCTGCTGTTGATTTTCCTCCTATGCACACACTCAGCAGGTATGCACACACGCAGCAGGAAGAGGTAGCTTCTCCCTCGCATTCTCTTCCACCCCACCTTCCTATCAGCATCATACTTGATTGTAACTTTTCTTCCCGTGAGTAGTTTTTCTGTTGCTGCAGGCTCAGATCAGCAGTAAAGCTTGCCTTTAAAAGTCACTTCACTTACCTTGTTTCTGGATTATAGCCCAGTATGTAGAAAAATGAATCCACTCGGGCTTTAAACTCTCTAGCAGCAAATATGTCAGAGAAATGGGAGATATTACACTTCCCTCTGAAAGAAAGAGGGAAAACGGTATTAGCATTCTACCTTGAATAACAGCTATTTTAATTAAGTGCCACTGCAATCTGTGTATAAGCCACAGAGATCCTTGTGTTCTCATAAATGTCTAAAACTTCATAAATATAAGCCTGTTGTAACAAATAACCATGCAGACTCTTCCCATAGTGGAAAGGGAAGAAAATCCAGTTACGATGTCTCAGACGGTGTTCCACAAACATTAAGTCTCATTCAGCCAACACACGGAGCTGAGGAGCCCAAATTTAATCAGACTAACAAACAATCTCTACCCTAGATATATAATCCTGAAAGAGTCTTATTTTCAAAGTTTTTACAGTCCTATTACATTTACAGCTTTAAGGAAGCTTCAAAAATTCTACTATTCATATTATTCGGGAAGTCAGCTTTTACTTAGAAAGCTACATAAAACTTCAGTTTAGTAACACTTCCCAATAAAAAGCAAAGCTATGCTGTTTTTAGCAAGACTGCAATCCTAACCATGCAAATTCCAAACACACAGAAGTTTCTTCCTTCTACTTTCACACATAAGAGAGTAAAACGCATAAAGACATTTTAAAAAAAGAGGAAAAAGAGGATTTATTAGCTAGTTCCACAAGATTGTTAATATTTTTTCTTCATATAGTTTGTTGATGAAGTCATTATCCTTAAGGACGAGCATCAAGATGAGCTGTGAGAAGTTGCATCTCGTTTCCTCACGGGTTTGTTGGCCTGTTAATGCTCAGCAGCTGCTCGTGTTTTGTCATTCGGTGCGCTGCAGTTTACTGCCGCCAAGTAAATCAGATCAGAAGCGGGCAGAGACAAACGGGCCAGCCAGCCAAAGAGTTAGTGCTTTTTATCTAAACCTGATTCAATGCAATAAACAAAGCACACAATTTTGTTCTTTTTCAGTATGTCAAGCTTTCTAGTATTAATACAGATAGCGCCTCTTTTCACTTGTATGTACTGAATAGTATTTGCTGTTGTAAATAAGCTGCTGTGGGGCTTATTTAACATTGTAGAAAGGTTTGCCAGTCGTGGTTAAAATTGAGTGAAAAGTGCTATTGCCACCAGCACACCAAGATGAATAATTATTTTGCCTGTAATAACGCTGGATCTGTTTGCCTAGTTTTCTCAGCAGAGCTTAAAAGCACGGCATACTTGGAAAAACCCGCGCTAGAAAGCTGAAACGCTAAGCTTGCTTCCCTTCCTAATCTCTTCACGGTGAAGCACTTCCAAAAGGCTTACCAGTCAACAGCCACGAAGAACTCTGCCTTCTAACGTGAGCTCTCCGACACACAACATCGGCTACTACGGGTGAGGAAAAAACCACACCAGAAGGATGAAGGATGAATAAAGTTGCCGACTGTTTTAAGACAAAACCAATAGGGCTCTCCTGTGAGCTGAGGCTGCGTAACTGGCCCTACGATTGCCTAATTCGCAGTCAACTGCCTTTCTGGCAAAGGACAAAGCGACACCGGGTTTTGCGCAGGTCACACCAAGTTCTGATGGAACATTAACAGGGTCCGTTATTAAGACATCACACAGAAATGCTGAAAGACAAACTTGTGCACTAATATTTATTTTATCCCTGGTGGCTAAAGCCAGTTTCCTAGTTTAGTTATTTAGAAAGAAAGAAAATGAGAAGGGGTAGTTGTTTTGATATTTCACATTAAATTCACATTCTAAAAGTATTTTGGGGAAAAATATTTCATTTCCTTTCAATAATTCATCTGACAGTTAATAAGTGTTTTCCAGATAAGCTTGTATTACCTATATTCATGAAAGCAGTACATCTCGTTCATAGCATTTCAGACAAGTAATACTACATATTACCACAAAGATTTACCGTGTAGGTAAAAAGGACATAACTTTCATTACAGACTTCCACGGGGATCTGCAAGTATCGTCTAGTTAAATTTTTCCACTGGTTAGAGCAGAAGATTGGTAGTTACAATTACCAGTTTTATTTCCCAGTTTATCATCAATTCGTTGTGTGACCAGAGCCATTTGCTAGCAGAGGGCAGAGAAATAATCTCATGTTAGAATAAATTAAAATTTCGTGTTAACCCTCCTTTCATGCATCACGATACATTCTGCCTACTCAAATGTAAGAACATCATGTCCAATTACCCTTATGTTCGTCTTGTACACTGAAAATTACTGACGTGTATTAATTATAATTTGCTAGAAAAGAATCAGCAAAAAATATAATCTTTATCCTGCAAAAGTACATTCTCTCAATTATCAGCATCTTTAGATGTACAAGCCTGTAAGAATTACCAGAAGTATGAACAATCCAGAATAAAACCAAACAGCAACACCATATACCACCAAAGGGAAAATAAGAGAGCAATCTGAAAGGTGCCCATGGTATGCACTTCCAAACGAAAAGGCGGCAGATAAAACACAAGACAGGTTGAGAAAGTGATCAGCTTGGTCTTTCAGCAGCCTCCACTCTTTTTGGGAGGGGAGAAGAGAAGGTTACTTTTCAATTTTGCTTGGTATACACATATATTCCATTTTTATCTCTTTGTTAAAGAAGAAAACAGAAAGGATATGGAAGGTACGTTAAAATGCTCCCAGGGAAAATTCCATGCACATAGTTCAGTTTCTCTCTGTTTAAGCAGACAGCTAGGTTTCCAAGATTGGTTCCATCAAGAGAGCCAACCAACCTCCTGCTAGCTTGTTTCTAAGCATGCCGATTTAAAATTGGAAGCTGACCTTCTGTAACTCAGAAAAGGCACTGTGGAATTTCATGAGATTATAGTACACCGCTGGAATTTTCCGAGTTTATAAAAAATCCTAATAGGTAAATCAAAGACTTTTTGCCACCCTTCTAACAGCAGTTGCAGCTAGTTTGTCGTGAAGTAAGTGGCTTCAGCACACTGACTCTGAACAAAAAATGTCTCCAGATGGTTCTAGTGAAACACCATCTGAGCATTATTATCGGGGAGATTATTCAATATCCATGCATGTTTGGCATGTTGAAAATCCGCTGAAAAATAATGCCTCGCTGTTTCTACTTGCAAACCTTTTTAAGCGATGGCGTACCGCCTCAACCTAGTCGAAGGTTAGCCACTGAAGTTAAAAACTTAGTGGGTAATGAGAGCAGCAACCTCCACGGAAGGGCAGATAGCACAGAGAACGATACAGGGGTCCATTACCTCCTGTCTGTACAGCTAGTTTTTAATGGAGCTCTTAGCTGAGCGGCGACAATGACAAGTGCCTCCGAGCAAAAAGCCTTTAATGCAATTTAATCAGGGCAACATACTAACAGTCACTTTACCAGGGGACACTATTGTTAATAGCGAAATCAAACACAGAGGAGGGAAGAGTAGTATTTCTGCAGGAACTAGCAATAACCTAAATTGGCAATGATGGGAAACAATATCTTCTGAGCAACGTTGATTAACTGAGATTAAAACAAGATTGTAGAATTACAGCTTCTTTTTGAATGAGAACAGATAACACAAGTTAATTACTGTAGGAGATGAGGAGAAAGCTGAGTAGTGTGCTAACGATCCCCACACCAACCCAGAAAAAGCGCCTCTCTAAGGTTTCTCTAATCCACCTCTGAGACACTGCACCACATCCTCTGTAGCTTACCTGAGGGCAGCAGCGTGGTAAGTGTCAACATAATCTGAAATGAAGAGCTCTCGATTCTTGATAACCGGGTCTGTAATAACAAGCTCTCGTCCAGAGTCTGCCAGAAAGCAAAAACACAAACAAAAAACCACCAACACATTAGCTGTAGTCTGAAAGCATCTACCATTGCCATTTTGCAGGTATTTTTTACACGTCAAAGTTTGAGGATGTTTCCTAGATACACGCTCCTCAGTGTTAAGATCACAAACATTCAGATTGTTTCCCCGGCCTGGAAGGTATGGAAACAATGTGATACCCATTTTTACACACGAATTCTCCCTTGCCCTATCTAAAGAACTGCCAAAGGTAAAGAGCTTTTAGGGGCAGTGGATGACACATCTTATTCACTGACTACTAGAAGTGGTCACTCCCAGGTGAAAGGAACCAAGCAAACTGATTTATCACTGACTTCTGGTTTCCAGGTTAAGGTTTTGCTTGTTTTGCATATTTAATCTCCCATCTTCAACCAAATCTTGACAGTACTAACTGCTTAGTGCTCTGGCTTTAAGATAAATATTGATATCATGTTCAAATAAGAAACAGAAAATTCTTAGTGTTGATGAAAAATTGGAAGACAACTTTTTCTATTACTTCTTTATAATACCTTTGAAGAACACACAAAAATACTTCTCCACATGCACAAGAGTGTGACAAAAAAGCAGCCATGTTATGAGAAATGCTCACTTTTTGACACTGTGCCTATACTCCCATTGTTAGAAGTTTCAAATCAATTAGTAAGAGAAATGTTAGACTTGTGCAGCTTTTGCTAAAAGCACACGCAAAATATCCTTAATGCCTGCCAAAAGTAGAATGTACGCTCAACTTTGTACTGTCGTGCACCAAAAAGTTGCTGTGTTCCATATTTCAAGCATCAACTTTTATCATCACAATTCACCTCGGAGTATCTTCAGAATTTTAACAGTTGCCTCAAGGAAATTTCCTGGTAAGAACAGAAGCAAATGTTATGTCTCCCCTAGAGGGAAGAGATAAATGACATTGGAATATGTACTTTCTTCTGCTTCTATTAAACCCAAGCTCACACTTGTATTTGCAAAGAGAAAAGGGGGAAACTCAGCTACAAGTGCTTCAGTTACATCACTTACTGCCATATTAATCACAGTGAGTATTCATACGTGCAAGGTAGCATGAACATAAAAAAAAAAACTTAGTTCTCATGAGACTATGGCCGAATCACAAAAAATAGGAGAGATTCAGAATTTCTTCAGACAACTTGGTCTTCAGCCAGTTAGGTATTAGTACACCGTCCAGAAGGCCTACAAAGGATCCATTGTTATTTTTCTTTTCTATTCTCTCTCAAGGCATTAGTATAATACAGTACAGTATGTAAACCACAGCTGAAGTGCATCTGATTATAGCTATGGTTACAGGACATACAGGACATAGTTAGAACAAGGCAGGTAAGAAACACTACCATCCATCTTCTAATACATTGTTTTTATCGACAGTCCTTGCTTCATATCCCTATGCAAAAGTGTTCTTGCTTTCTGGACTGTTAAGACTTAAAATTCAGAGTACAAGTAAAGAAGGCCTTACTCTACAGAGCCTAACTTACCATTCTCATTGTGTCTGTCCTGAACCAAATGCTGATAGACTGAATCTGGGACTTCAGACTGGCGATAGTACCATTTGACATTCATAAGGAGGTGGTCCCGTTTACTCTGAAAAAGAAGGTCTAAAGGCATTACTAAAAAGGAAATCAGACCACATCTGACACAATCTTCTAAAGTATAAAATTGTTTTCACACTGAAGAAAACCTGAGGTAAGACCCAAAAGGGAGGAAAACATATTTCTACGACAATGAAACAACGGCAACGTGCTAATGACAGGTTGACTTTCCAACTAGACAAAGGCAACAAGAACCTACTGCATCATCAGGCAGTTGGATCTCTCTATATACTAATACAGACCAGCAAATACTAATCTGTTCACTCACAAAAAACTAACCTAAGAGGCAGGGATCAGAAAAGGATTGGAATTTTTGGCCTCATGCAGCATGATCTTAGCCTGGTAACTTCTACAAACAGGAATTATTTATGGCCAAACACAGGAAAAAATACCAGTAGTAACATAATTCACTGCAACCATTCTTAACAGTTGTAACCAAGAGACAGCAGATTTTTTTTTTCCCCCAAGGACAGATGGATTCAGACATAATTGTAGATGTTCCTTATTACACTCCTTACACAAAAGAATAGGATGCTGCGCTTCAATCCCAATAATTGTAGGCTCTGACTGCTCCCGTACCTCGCAAAACCAACAGCAAAATTTATACAAAACTATCTTCCTCAAGAGCTCCTTTTTCATTCGAGAATCCAGCTACCAGTTTGTTCCTCCTTAGAAGGAAACTGAAGCATAAACACCATTTAAAAAGATAATTTTTAGATCAAGTTATTAGAGTCTCTGCTTCTGTTTATCTTTGAAACCCTTGGTAGTCAATTCTTTCTACTGCTCCAAAACACTTGAAGAAACAGAGGAAGGCCTAAAGGGAATTAACATTCTTTTGGAATGAGGCAACTGCAAGCACCATTTGTTTTTTCTGGACTACAGTCATCTAGACCCTTCTAAGATTGCTCTTAAAACATTTACATTTAAATGTTAAATCACAGGTTACTGGACCAGAAAGATCTTATCAGCTCTCCTGTTCACATCAGCCTAGTTGCTACAGCAATTTCCACCCTTTGTGCTTAATAAACAACATCAAAATATTTCCATTAAATGCACTTCCCGAAGCCTTTGATTAAAAACACGTGTAATACCACCAAAAAACTGCTAGTGGCAGCATTGTGCCAGAAAAAACTTTGTTAACTAATCCACCACGACCACATGTGCTCTATGTACAGAATGCCTCAAAACACATTCAAGAACACACTAAGCACGCTTGTGCTGTACAGGAGAAACCGGAACCTACTTTTTTAAATAACGCATTGCAGTCAAAGACAACAGGCTTGTCTAATGCATGGGGGAAAAAAAAAAAAGGACAAAGTCGTCAGAGTCGTCAGAGAGGCAACACTGACTTCTGCTGCCTCCTGTTCAAAAAATGTGGTTGCAGGCTTTTCTGTTCTCCTGAAATAAAGCTCCGTGCATCACAGGTTTTATGAATAGTCTCTCTGAATTCTGAAGACAAAAAAAACCCCACCAAGTAAATGTTCTGTTACTCTCTTGCTGAGAGTTCATAAATTCTATTAGCGCTAACAGAACTGCATGCAACAATGATGGGAAACAGTAACCCAGCATTTCTCTGCAAATCCTCTTCGCATTTCGTAGTTGAGAGGAGAGAGCATCCCTCTTGTGCTACACAGAGCCCCGAAAGCATCACTTTGTGGCACAAAATACTCACTTATGCGTACAGACAGTTTACAACAGGCAGCAAAAGCTAATGCCTCAATTTTCTTGGCTTGTGCCGCTAAAGTCGGGTGTCTTTCAACTAACACAACGCTCCAAGCAGCACTCTAGAGGCACCGTAAGTACACACGTATACGCAGCCATGAAGGAGGACCACAAAACACAGTGTTTTGTTGGTGGCGGGTTTTGAATAGCCAATTACACCAGGGGGAGGAGAAGGCCTAGAAACGGTCTGTGGTCTGCCAGGGATGGTGCTTACAAATGCTTATCCACAAACCGAAGCATCAAAAGTCTGAACAGCCACCAGCAGCCAATGGAGAGATCTGAGAAGAGGAACCAAGTCACTCTATCTTGGCAGAGCGCGCTAGTCACGGAGAGGACAAAGGCAGCAAATGCTGAACGAACGGCTACAACCTCATAGCAACCTTCCAGTGATTCTGCTCGGAGGGGACAGCTTTGCAGAAAGAACTCTGGAAGTGTGGCAGTTGCGGGAAGGTATATCCTTTGCATATGCATACACTGAGATTATATAACGACAAAAAGGGAGGGATCAAAACTCTCAAATGTTTTCGTCGCCTTGGCATCACATAGAGCTGTGAGTCGGGAGGTCACAGCTTTATTTTGGATTAGGCCAAGACTGTAAAGGAGATGGTGATGCAATCACTTGACTTCCCTGTCTCCATTTCTTCTTGTATCATCGAATAGCACAGGGTTTTAGCAGCACGGGGGTGAGGCTAAGGTCAACACTTACAAAGCATTCCGATACACTTGGATAGAAGGAATCCGTGGTCCGAAGTGAGGTTTTTCCACTTGCTGCCGATAAGGGACCACCCCATTCTCTGCCCGCCTCCCAAAAGACCCTCCCAGCTTGTCGTTCAGTCAATGCAAAGAGAAGGTTTTGCTTATCTCTCTCCCCCCCGTAAGCTTCACTGCAAACACCCAAGTTCACCAATATGCATTTCAGAAAAATGGAATAGCAGGGGATTACACAAGAGCTTATTAGGAACGTTCACACATTAACACACAATGAAGGCAGGCAAAGTATTTACTATTTTCTGCAGTATTTTATCACCTCATCGCTCAAAAATCCCATACTTTAGGAAAGCATAACATCTACATACAGCCTGGAGCTTTTTGCTAGTTCAAGCATTTTAATTTGATGAGAAGGCATGCATTTCCCCATTCTGAAACTTTGTTCTCAGGCTCACAGAATGCCTTCGTTGTTCCCTTCACTGTGTTTTATTCCAGAGGTTAGCAGTTACTCGGCACAGTGAAAGAGAACAACATTTCCTCCCCTGAAATCAGATTCACAATCAGGAAGAACACGGGGAAAGAGATTGAATTTCAGGAGGCTGGCTGAATCTAAGAAGTTTTCAGGGAAATGATGAATTGCCCTACACCGCAACCTGCCAACAGGAATGGTATCGACTTCTTCAGGTTGATCATGTAGCGCGAGCCATTGTCAGAGGGGAAGATTACAAAGAAAAAGAAATTACAGGGGTTTTCACAACACAGGAAAGTGGCTTCTCTTTCATGACACTTCAGAAACAAAAATAACGTATCTTTAAAAACTAGAGAGAACAAAGATGAAGTCAGAATTCGAACCAAAACGGGTAATAAAAACAATAGACAATCAATCCAAATGGTGCGTATAAGCATAGATTTGAAGCCATGGTGTACACCAACCTTTATGCTTTTAACTTCTAAAAACTAAATGTTATGAAATAGGCATTTTAAATTAATTATAACCGAGAGGAAAAGATGAACATGGCCAATGTGCATATATCTTTAAAAATTATCAGACTCATCACGTATCTTTCAAAAGGGAAAGCAGCACATGCTCCACAATGCTGACTGCTCTTCATCATTTGAATCACAGAATGCACCTACGTGGCACGACTCAATGCCTCCATACATAAGGAAAGCAGCAACAAAAATATCATCATTGCAACAGAGATGTGCAAGCAACATTTTACAGAAAAGTCTCTGGACAATGATGGAACTAGAAGTACGCTGACATACTAATAAGGTGCTATTTGTCCTCTGCTGACAGCAATTGGGTTTGGGTTGTAGGTGTTTGCTTTGAGTTGGGTTGGGGGGGGTGATCTGATCTCCTTCCTTTTACCATGATTACCATGATGATCTCCTCTTTTACCATGATTGCTGCTTTTTGTCCAATTAATTTAAAAGCTTCATCTTGAAAAATATTTTCTGTATGTACTCTCCAACATGCATGATTTTGTGGGTTTTAACCTGAAGTTTCAATCTCCCTAAAAATATAAAACGTCTGTCAATTGCGTTCTTCACATTTACATCCTTCATTGCACAGAAATTCCTAGACATGCTATTTTGTCAGCCAGCTTTCTAAATACATGTGTCATTTACGGAGCAGACTATACTCAGAGGTGTCAAAGCGCCAACTTCTATGGTAGACTATTTATTTTAGAACCATGTGCACACAAAAGAAGCGTCCCCTAGTTCATAAAGTGTTGCTTTTTCTTTTTTTTTTTTTTTTTTTTTAACACCTTTACATACAAAAAGCTGTGGATAGTCACATGCCAAATTCAGACTTGCAGAAATCACAGCAATGGCAAGTGCTTTAAAGTGTCTGTCAGCTCAAAAGGATTTCCTGTGCTACAAAACTCCATTCTCCCCTTAGATGAAAATATTGTCTATTGCTGCAGTACTCAAAAAGTACTCATTTGGGGGTTTTGTTGTTGCTGCTGGTTTGGGTTTTGTTCCTTTTAAAAGAAACATGAATCAGTTTTGGACATTCAACAAGAATTAGATAAAAGCTGTAAATGGATTAAAGCATCCCAGTTTACAAGCATCTGGTCAACTTCTATTTAAAAATGAGCCTCCCCCTTAAAAGGGGAAAAAAAAAAAAAAATCTTGCCGGTTCTCCTTAAAAGTATGAATGTACCGTTTTCCACAGCACTGTGACAATTCCAAGGTGCCCGTTTTCTTTTAGAACACACTTGAAGACAGAGTTACTGCACATTACGATTCATTTCTTAAGAGATTCCACATTCTCTTCCCAGGGTTATGACTAACCAAATTGTGCAAATGATCACAGATGTCCTGCAGATTCTCTCAGAGGGATTTAAGCAGTATCCTTCATTACGTGCCCTATTTAGATACCGTGTAAAATCACAACTAGCTTTGGAAACAATATACCAAATGCTGGAGATGACAGATGGGCACGCTGGAGTCAGTGAATAGCAGCTATTTCAAAGAAAGAAACAGCAAAATAGAAACAAGGAAAAGAACATCTTTCCTTTCAAACATATTTTCAACAATGAAATTTTTCTATCAGAAAAAAATAATCATGTCATTAATTC